AGGAAAATAAACGTGACGTTAAATCCGCCACCACCCGACACAGCTAATTAGTAAGGTCTGTCACGTAGACAAAACGTGCCAATGAATGACTAGTTCAGTGTTGGAGTGTAAACCCACAGCATTTACAATTCGAGTACAATGTTTAGCCGGTAATTACAACCAGCCTCATCAGGCACCAGCCAGAGTTGTGGAGAAATCCTCGTATTTTGGTTTTAAATATACACGCACCTGCCTCTCCCGCCATTAATACTAATTAGTGGGTGACGTCACTCCATATGGGGGGGGGGGGAGGCGCCTCCTCCCCCTTCCTCAGCGTCAACTTACAACCCTCACTACAAAGGCAGAACCCTAACGTCACGTGATCTCCGTAACGCTGTTGAGACATTGAAGTAAAAAGGACGTCATGATGAACAAGGGATTATAACCTTTCAACTCCTCTTTTGGACTGAAATAGAGGAGGGGAAAATGTGATCAGGTGCGAAGACGGGGGGGGGGGGGTGGGGGGTGGTTAATGTAGCCATACATATTACAACGGATATTTACGCACTCTAACCCAAAAATAAGAAATCTTTTACGGATAACATTGCTCGCCAAAGCCCACTATGTGTTTCGCTGGATTCAGTTCCTGACGATCACTGAGCATCAGCCGGTAAGACCCGAGGTCACGTTACAGGGCAACCCCCCACCACTGCCAAGGCACGGGACGGCCTTCGCCCGGCCGTAGCTCGGCCAAAGGGCTGCAAATATCAATTACAATTAAACTGAAGGAAACTGTGAATTCCGGAAGAAAATGCTCACTATAAACGGCGAACACATCCCCTGGACACACGCACTCCCCTCGCAAATGAGACGTTGCACTACAAGGGATTCATCCAGGTGAAATATTTCATGATGAATTGAAATAATAACACATGAGAGTATCTGAGGCGCTAATTTTGTTTTAATTACGCTTGTTTACCCAGGAAAGCCTCACCGAGTCTCCAGACGTTTTTTTCAGTTTCCGTGGATGGAGCTCGGTGATGATGCTGCTGCTGCAGTGTGTAATCCCAACAGAGTCATTTGCAGGGAACAATTCTTTCCCGCATTTGGGTTAGGGTTAATTTCTATTACTGTTGTTGTCATTATAATTTTGCTACGAGCTATAAATACACGATCTTGCCAGGCGGCTCAGTGGTCAGGACACGTAGCAATCTCCCCAACTCAACTTTTCACTTGGGTTGTGAAGGTGAGCGCCCCCTCCCCCCCCCACCCCGGTTTTGTGAAGCCGGGTGGTTTTCCTGCGGATAAACGAAACTATTAAGCTTGTCTGGAGCACTTCACGCACAGCCGATGAACGATCGATGCTCTGTTTATTTGTCATCGCAGCGCCATTGGCTGCGGGGGCCTCAACAACCATGCGGCTTCTTCTTTACTTATTACATTTCCAGAGGTGGACAAACTATGAACTTTTAAAACTATTTTTTGTATCTTACCAAGTAAGGCCCCACTGGGCTATGTAGCTCTTTTTCAGAAGCGACCGGGCCACAAATGATAGCTCAACGAAGCGGCTGATCATCGTGTGGAACTGTATAGCAGCCAAACACTCCAAACGCACGTTCATTTCTACATGTGGAGGGAAAAACCGGAGGACCTGGAGAAAAATCCTCGGAGAACATGCAAACTCAAAAGATTAGACCCACAACCTCCTGCATACTGGGCGAGGGAGTTAACATCTCGCCAGCGCAGCGCCCCGTGGATCAACGTGGGGCAAACCCAAGCACATGGCATTCATACACGGCCGGCCACACGTAGTAGTAATAATACTAATAATTCTACACTGAATTTCGATTTAAAGCTTTCGTGACTGCAGGGATTCATAATAAAAATAAAACATAATAAAATAATATATGTTATTATGTTTCATTTTTATTTTTTTATTATTTCCATTCTACGTGACTTTACCGAAAGAACCAAGAAGATGAATACTACACTGCTATATTTACCCAAGAATACTCTTTGGGTCTTTCAGTTAAGACACGGAGATAGAAGAAAAATAATAATAAAGTAATAACAAATAATGTGATTTTGTATTATTATTTAATATTATTTATTTATGTTTCTATCTACGTGACTTTACCGAAAGACCCAAAGAGTGTGAATTCCTGCAGTCACGAAAGATTTACCCAAGAATGTCAGTGTGACGTCATTCCACGTCGACCAGCCCCCCTCATTAATAATCATGAGCAGGTGACGTCACTCCGCATGGAGAACCTCCCCCTTCATTAATAATCATGAACAGGTGACGTCACTCCGCATGGAGAACCTCCCCCCTCATTAATAATCATGTGCAGGTGACGTCACTCCGCATGGAGAACCTCCCCCCTCATTAATAATCATGAGCAAGTGACGTCCTCCAAATGGACACCCCCACACCAGTAACAATAATTAGCGGGTGACGTCACTCCACATGGCGGGGGGGGGGGGGCGAGGCGCCTCCTCCCCCCTCCTCGGCGTCAACTTACAACCCTCACTACAAAGGCAGAACCCTCACGTCACGCGATCTCCGTAACGCTGTTGAGACATCAAAGTAAAAAGGACGTCGTGATGAACAAGGGATTATCACCTTTAAATGAAATAGGTCTGTGTCACCGCGCCCTTACAAATTGCACAGGAATTGATGTGTGCTTTTCGCTTGCAAGTTTCATATTTACCGAAATACACCCGTCGTCCTTGGATGGGCAAAAGGCGAGTTGTAATAATGATCTACCCAGGAAGGCCACGGATGAGTCTGGCGACTCTCTTTTAGAAGGGTCCCGCTACATTGGGGATGTTTGGCCAACACCAGGGACAGCGTGCGTTCTTCCAGCCATGGGCTATAGGAACCGGATAATCCGGTGAGAAACCCATGCAGATCGGGGGCAGCGGGGGGAGGAGGGGGGTGAATAATACAAAACTCCACCATTTCGATTTAAAGCTTTCGTGACTGCAGGGATTCGTCTTCTTGGTTCTTTCGGTAAAGTCACGTAGAAGGGAAGTACTAAAATAATAAAAATGAAACATAATAAAACAATTCTCACGACGTTTCGGCCACAACGCAAGCAGCCGTCCTCAGGTGAAAACCAGGTCTGTCGGGACGACGCTTGCGTTGTGGCCGAAACGTCGTGAGAATTATTTTATTATGTTTCATTTTTATTATTTTATTACTTCCCTTCTACGTGACTTTACAGAAAGAACCAAGAAGATCAAAACTCCACCACACAGAGCAGCGCTTGAGTGGGACACCGAAACAAAAGGCCCTCCTCGCTGCGAGGCAACACAAGTGTTACCGCTACAGCGGCCACCCTGTCGACGACTGCGGATCGACACAAAGACGTACAACACGCGGTTGCCGGGAGAGGCAGGTGTGTGTATGTAAAAGACCAAATACGAGGATTTTTACACAATTGTGGCTATTGCCTGATTAGGCTGGTTGGAATTACCGGCGAAACGTCGGACTTGAATTGTAATCGTTGTGTGTTTGCTCTCCAACACACCGGTGTGCTGTACTAGTAACTAATTGGTATATTTTGTTTACGTGATAAACTTTACGAATTGGCTGTGTTTGGTGGTGATGGGTTTAAGGACACATTTATATTTATGAGATCTAACCCAAAAAAACTCTGTTATGGATAACATTTGTCGCAAAATCCAACTACGTGTTAAACCTGTAGATGTATGTTGAACTTTTTTCGCACCGTTACGTCGCCAACTGCGCTCATCGTATGTGCAGTTGGGGGGGGGGGGGAAGGACAACCAACTAAACACGAAAAGCGGTTCTAATAAAGAAGTCACTCTTCAATCTCGATGTAAAGAGCAACCCGCTCGCTGCCACAGCCCGCGTGAAGATCGACGGCTCGTGAAGGCTGCTGCTGCAGTGGTGCGGTACGTGATGCTGGAACGCACGATTTTTGTTTGTTATTCGCATCACTGCCGCGGGGAGTGGTCGAGTGAGTCCAAGCATTTTCCGCGTGCTCCTGCTCCCAACGAGCGTTGGGTGGTGCGCGAATTGTACTAGGGCAGCGACAAGGCAATTCCATGGTAGCATGGTGGGGCCCAGTGTTTCCACACCAGCACTGATGTTGACTTCCCAACAAAGCCGTTATGTGTCTCATCGTGATCTTAAGCCATGTTGGCGTGGGTTAACCCCTGACGAGGGTTTGAACGCTATAACCGCAGGAATAGCATGCATGTTGTATGTGTCCGTGTGCATTAACACGTGTGTGCGTGTCTTTGTTTTTGCATGAGCGATTATGTACGTGTGTGCATGTGGACGGTGTCTGTGTATGTGTGCGATGTGTAAACATCGCCACTGGGGAGACAAAGGCGGCCGGGCGTGGTGCTGGCCACCCACCCCCTCCTGCGCCATGTCGTTCTTCATAGGTGCTCGCTAATAGCACTTGCCCCAACAGTATGTTAAGGCTATGTGGGGGATCTGTATCTTTATCTGTGTGTGTCTGTGAGCGGTGGCGCCGCGTTTAGCGCACTGTGCTACAAACCCAGCGGGTGACCCAAGTTTGATTCCCGCTCATGGCTAACACCAGTAACGATTATCTGAACCGATCCTGGGCCTCCTCTATGTTGACTCCGCCTCAAATGAGTCCCTCGAGTGATGTGTAAACATTACTACGAGGGAGAGAGGTGTGTTGGGACAGTAAACCCACATTTTCAATACGAGTACGACGTTTCGCTGGCGATTACAACCAGCTTCATCAGGCGATAGCCAGAATTATGGTTTGCCGCACATACATAAATGTGGAGCAACACACCGGCGTGCTGAACAAGAACTAAATTTGCATGTTTTGTTTACGTGACAAACCTTACTAATGGCCTGTGTTGGGTGGTGATGGGTTTAACGACACGTTTATATTCACGCGATCTAACCCACAAAACCTTCATTATGGATAATATTGGTCGTGAAATCCCTACAACGTGTTGAACTACTGTCGGCTAGCGCCGTTGCTGCCGTGGTGTGCTCGACTAACCGCTTTCGAAGGCCGCGTTGAAGACGAGGTGTCCCCTCTTGGCGGGGCCGACGTGATCTGGAGGAGTGACCTGCAGCCTGATCACGTTGCCCACCGATCCGACACCAATTCCTCTCCACTCGCCGCTGGGAAAACCTGAAAGCAGAAGGGTTGTTTGAAGCTCTCCAACGTGTTAGCTATGATGTAAAACTAAACTTTATTTTATTTTATTCGGTAAGGCCCACTGAGCTGTAGTATTTAGCTCTCTTTCAGAAGCGACCTGGCCGCAAATGATAGCTGAACGAAGTGTCTCATCATCATCGCGTGGAGATTCATAGCAGCCAAATACTCAAAACGAATGTCGATTTTAAATGTGGAGGGAAAACCCGGAGGACCGGGAGAAAAATGCACGCGACCATAGGGAGAGATACATACAAACTCCAATTATATAGGTGTCAGGTCGGGATCGAACCCACGACTTCCTGCACACCAGGCGATGTAGTTAATATCTCACCACCGTGGCGCCCCTTACGACCACCATAGTATTACTAACCATTGGCTAAGGACTAGCAAGCAAGACGATCGGAGCTGGGATGATGAAGTCCATCAAGTCGACCAAATTAAACTAGGAGTTGCAATCGGCTACTTTTACCGCGATTGTGTTTCTGGGGCCCCTTTAAAAACAAAAGGTGGATGCCACAACATCCCGGTCTTACAAACAGCGAACTCACAACATCACCAAGCCTCGTCCATCACCTTCCTTCCAACGGCACACACGAGACCGTCTTTACCCTCTCCCCCCCCCCCCCCCGTTTCCAATTGTCTTTGTGTCATCCAATTAGTCGAGTAATCAAACCGATAATCGGTAGAGTGATCGATTACTGACATGATTGGATAGCCCTGGCTTTGGGGATGAGCACTGCTCAATCAGGGGCTCGGCTCTAGACATGATAATATCATGGGATTGCCTTCGCGTATTTCGGTATGTCCACCTTTAGCAAACAAAAGAATGCATTCATGAGCAAAATAATGATTTCGAATTGTACATACACTGTATATAAATCATCGGCACCGCGCATCAGGGAAACTTGCTTCGGGATGTGCACGCAGCCGGCGTGTTCCCGAATGTTCTGGGGCAAGACGATTGAGGAGGGGGGGGGTTGGGGGGATTTAATTAGGACAGTGGGGGCAGGGAGCATAGTCGTGGCTGGGGGAGCGAGAGGGCAGGCAGGGTGCAATTGGCGGGGCTGAAGGAAGGAAAGAGGTCTGATGCAAACATGTCAAGGGGGATAGGAAAAGCTTAGCAGGACAACAACGCTGACCTGCTAAGCAACGCTGACCTGCGAAAATGAGGAAATTCGAAAGTAGGCTCAAAGCGTTCTGTACGGGGGGGTGGGGGGGGGTGCACTAATTGTTTACATTTAAAATTAAAAATCCCGCACATTTCACTGCAATTAAATAAATAAGTAGATAAATAAGACATTTTAAACAATCTCGTTTATTATCAAATATTTATGTTATTTATTTAAGCGAGGTGTTGTCGTTCCTCTGGTTGAGGTGCCATTGCACGGCCTGCTGTGCGTGTTGCCATACGTCACTCCGCGGAGCCTGTGCCAGGCTAGGTGGACTTGAAGGTTTCGTGGATTTACAAAAGTGCATCGGCATGCGGTCATGGGACAGGCCGAGGCATTCTTGTGTAGGTGAACAAACGCAATTACTGGATACCGTAATGTGTAAAAAATACACACACACATGGTACTTTCAGCAAGCTCCAACACAACCATTAACATACATCAGCCTGTTAACCCCGTCATACATAGTACTCTCCTGAGACCTGGTCATGACCCTTCTCCACTCTACATGGTCTCAAAAGTGTACGTAGCCTGGCACAAGTGCTGCCACTTCGTGGCATTTGGCCACTCTTACCGCTTATGTGTACTGTGTGTGTGTGTAAACTTGTACATGTGTGGGTGCACACACCTGTGCAGTAGTGTAGCGGTTAGTGAGCTGCGCTACGAAACCAGCGTCCCGAGTTCGATTTCCGTTCACAGCCACCAAAACCGGTGGCGATTATCTGAACCGGTCCTGGGCTGACTCAGCCTCAATTGAGGACCTGGTGCAGGTGTATAAACATCGCCAATCGGGAGACAAAGGCAGCCGGGCGTGGTGTTGGCCACCCACCTCATCGTGTGTCGCGCAGACCTTCATAGGCGCTCGCTAACAGCACTTGCCCCATCAGTCTATTGAGGCTATACGGGGGATCGTTTGTGTGTGTTGTGGAGAGGCAGTGGTTAGCGCACTCCGCTACAAACACGGCGACCCGACTTCGATTCTTGTTCACGACCAATAACAGTGGCAAAGTATTTGAACTGGTCCTGGGCCTCCCTTGGGTCGACTCAGCCTTAAATGAGTCACCTGGTGCGGCGTGTAAACATCAGCACTGGGGGAGACGCCGGCGGCCGGCTGGATGTGGTGGTCGCAGGCCACTCCACCCCAATGCGTGGTGTGCCGGCCTTAACGTTCAGCGCGTAATAATCCACCCTGCCCTCACTGCTTGGTGATCCCAATAATTACGATGACTCGGATTGCAACTTTCATTCAGCGATCAATTTTAGATTTTGTCTCGTACGCACCGTTTCAGCCTTCGCCCCATTTCAACGGTCTCACTCGCTCTGCCGGTGGAAAAGTAGCTACGTTGAGCATAGCGTTTGCATGTTTCGTTGACATAACGTGAGCGCAATGGACTCGCATGGAACACACGTCGCGTCATTCGACGCAACGTCGTATCGCGAGCCGTTAGAAATCACCTCGACCGGCGGAGGTGACACGTCGTCGTTTTGCGGGGCCTCCTTCTCAACAGGTGCCCGCAAAACAGCGCCGAGCCCCTTGCAGTCCCCCAACGATAGCAATGACGACGACGGTGACCACGATGAAGACAACGACGACGACAATGGTGGTGACGATGGCGGCGGCGGCAATGACTACGACAGCGGCGATGACGACGATGACGATGGTGACAACGATGACGGCGGCCATCATGACGACGGCGGCAGCTATGATGACAACAACGACGGCGGTGACGGTGACCACGATGAAGACAACGACGACGACAATGGCGGTGACGATGGCGGCGGTGACAATGACGACAGCGGTGATGATGATGATGACGATGGCGACGACGATGGCAGCGGCCATCATGACGACGGCGGCAGCTATGACGACAACAACGACGGCGGTGGCCGCATGGAACTCTTGAAAGCAACACGCCGAGCCATTAACCCCCCTGAAGCCCATCATCATCATCCACCTTGGAGTTTTTTTTTGCTAAAGCGATTTATATAACAGAATTGAGAAGGTCACTACTGATTTAAAAAACAAACAACAACAAGAAACGGCCAGCGCTGTCACATTAGGCTAGGGCTCAATATTGAAAGGTGAAAGTCGAGAATAGGAAGGGCAAATTTGGCAGGGTTACGGGTGGGGTCAAACAATTTGATATAATGCCGCTTTTTTGACCGGGGCCCCCTCATATTGCACAAATAGTAATAAAATAATCATTGCTTTGTTCACCCGTGACGTCTCACTTTTATTCTCCAGCCGCGTTCTGCAGAAGGGTTCTTCACTCGGTGGCGGAGGGAGGGTGGTCGCTCCTTCTGCTGGAACTCTCTACCACCCCACCAGCCATCCGGGCTATCGACTCCCAGCCTCTGTGCAAATCCGTGTTCTTGACATGACCAGTTTTCCAATTTGCCTTTGACTGCCTTGCATCTCTCGAAGAAGTCGTTATAACCGCTGTTTCTGTACATCGTCTTGAGATTGCGTTTGCATTTGGATGCCATTCGGAGCAAAAGAGTATCGCATATTTGGCCAACATTTTTTTCCCGGAATATATTTGCCCGTCAAAATGTGCTGCGGTGCCTGCCAGAAAAGCCAACCAGATAACACTTCAACTCTGATATGCACAGATAGTCAACTGTAAATGTATCTCCCTGCTAGAATAAGCAATGAGGGTTATGGCATCAACTGGACACCCTAATCTGGGTACCTTAATATTTAACACCGAAACTGGAGGATTTCCCCACAACTCTGAATGTCCGCCTGATGATGCTGGTTGTAATAACTGGCAAAACGTCGTACTCGAATTGTAAATATCGTGGGTTTTACTCTCCAACACACCGGTGTGCTGGACTATTAACAAATTTGCCTGTTTTATTTACGTGACAAACCTTAATAATTGGCTGTGTCGGGTGGTGGCGGGTTTAACGACACATTTGTATTTACGCGATCTAACCCAAAAACCTCTATTATGGACCCTAATCTGCTACTTCTTCTCGTCCTTTTGGGTCCTTTGGGGCGTGATGGTTTCCTACGCAGGCGTCGCCTTGCAGTGCCCTCTCCACGTCTCTCCGTCCGCCGCCGTGCCTCTCAGCCGAGGCGCCTTCCATCCCATCCAGCGGTTGATGCTTGGCACCTGGTCCATTTGTTGGTCTTCCTCTTCCCCCTCGAACCTTCCAGCATTACCCTTCATCGCCGTCGCCTACAGCCGCCCCTAAATATCACGCAGCTTCCTGCACTTGACCTGATTTGGTATAATAAACCTCGAGTCTCCGTCTGTGTCGTGTTCTCTGCAAGACTTTCTTGTTCGCTGCACGCTGGCCCGAATCGGTTTCTGAAAATTCCAAATTCCGATGATGGAAACCGATATTTTCTTAGAATGCCCACTCTTCATTTCCCCCAAAGTGGTACATCATGCTCAACAACAAAGCAGTGCAAACCCAAACACTCATCAGAGAAGCGATACAGTGAGTCGGCAGCATTCCTATGGCTAGTCTAGCACTCTTAACTGCACGACCATCTAGCTGGACAGCTAATTAAAACAAAAATACCCACTTGCTGTACTGCCTCCGAGAGGAATGACCCCACCGATGAGTTTCTCACACAGGCCCCCATTTCCATCACCATCCCCACCTCCAAGGGCTTCATTTGCAGGTACGCGTCGAGGCCTCAAGCGGCAAATTACTGCCGGGGTCATGGGCAGCGGAGACATTGATGTAACGTCGCAAGAAGTGAACAGCTAAACAATTAGGGTAGAATTGAGGTCGCTTTCCTAACCCCCGTGCGTGTAATTATCACTTTTGCATGAAAACGTCACGTCCATTACTCTCAAACCGCAACGCTATCAATCCTGCCCAGTGGCTCTGTGCTCAGGGCGCCTTGAATCACAACGAGACAGTCTTGATTTGGCTTTTCACTAAATGTGCGCGTATCCTGATTGAGGCTCTCAGCATCGTGTTCTGACAATGACAGCGGTGGATTGACCATGATGGCTGATGATGATCATCATCTCCTCCTGCAATTCACTTTCTGCCCCAGCCGCATTTCCAAAGGCAATGAGTGACAAAGGACTGTACCTGTACAGTCTGGACCTAACACACAGATAGGAGTTAGTAGCCGAGGATAGATACATGGAAGGTTGCCTCTATTCTAGAGCTGGGTTATCAGATTACTTCAAGTAATTGATTACTCTTCCGATCATTGAGCTCGATTACAAAATCGAGCAGCAACAAAATAGTTGCGAAAAAGGTCTCAACCTGCTTTGCCACGTGTGCCGCTGGACGGGAGGTGATGGGCGGGGGTATGGGATGTCATCGGCATTATCGGCCGCGTCACGCCGGGCGTGGCTTGTAGTGGGGTGGGGGGTTTCCCGCCTTCGGGAGGCGGGATGTGGGGGGGGAGTAAAAGCGATCGCAAAGAAATGCAGGCGATGGCAAATTTCAGCCGATTAATCAACCGAACCGACGAAATCACTTGCAATGTTCGGTGAAGCAGACAGAGGACACGGGGACGGAGAGACTCACGTCTCATAGAGGGGTGGTTTGGAGTTTGATGGAGTAGAGCTGGGAGAGATAAAAAAAACAGGGGTGGGGGGGGGCGCTACAGAGAGATGAGATCAAGGGGCCAAGATAAGAAGGATTTCTAAGACGGTCACAGCAATTTTGCTGTTGATGTGCGAGTGGATTGGCAGGCGGTATACGGACCTTATAAGCGAAATGGACGTGCCCAATCGAGTGGAGAAAGACAGGAGTGGGGAGGGCGACTTAAGAAATTGTATTCATCTCAGATTACCTATTACTTACGTTTTTTTTTTCTGGAAGTTATGGAAATGTAATCTTTTCAATGTCATTCCAATGCAATTCAACGTGTAATGTCTATTTATTTCATTTACCAGATCGCACTGAATGCACCCAATCTTTGTCACATCTCGAAAGCTAAGCGGGTTCGGGCCTGGATAGTGTTCGAATGGGCGACCGTGAAGCACAAGCAGGTTCATACTCTTAGTTCTTTCGGTGAAGTCACGTAGGTAAAAAATGAAATAAAAATTAATAAAAATAAAACAATAAAATCACGACGTTTCGGAGACAACACAAGTCTCCGTCATCAGGTGGGACCGTCACAGCCAGATTAGCTGCATTAAGTGAGCAAGCAGGTTGCCACAGGTGGCCAGGGCCCTACGTGATGGGCAGCAGTGGGCAGTGCCGCAACATCCATGGTTGTACTGTTTTTATATGTCCCTAAGCTACACGGTCTGTATGCACAAACCCATACTAACCGTACCGCTATGGTGAAGTCGGACCATATAAGCTCCCCGTCACCCACATGGCGCGGTGATACGCTCATCTAGCAGTGGTTTCAGAAGGGCTGTACATGTATCGTATGCGCACTTAACAATTGTATGCACGTGTTGGACATCAGAAATAACAGCACCATGATCAGAGTAACTGTATAATTTGTATGGATTGGCTGCTGCTGCCGCTGTGTTGTACTGTACCTGCATTAACCCAAGCTACTGACCCCATCAATCCACTCTTTAAAAAAAAATATTAATTTAGTTTGTAAAAAAAAGAATTTTCGATATCATAAATGTGGTGGTGCACGCCTGCAATCCGGCACTGTGGGGGCAGCAGCGCGGGTTGCTGGATCACACGCAGAAGCTGTGAGATGCCATACACCCCTGGCGTGCCACGAGAAGGCAGTACAGCAAGTTGGCCTGATCGCCATCTGTTTCCATCTGCACGGGGATAGAGCGCCGTGGTTATCTCGCGCACGTGGGGATTTCTCCAGGGGCTCTGGGTTTCTCCCACACGTATAAACAACTTTAAATATAAATATTTATTTTTTACATATAATAACAAAATGCAAGACCCTCCTGAAAAAAATTCCTACTAACGCAGCGTGGCTCTTCTGGATAAATAGAAATGATAATTTAATTACAAACAATAAACTGATACGTATGTTGAACTTAATTCGCCCTGCACGTATAGCCAACCGTCCTAATCGGATGTGCGGGGTGAAGGACAAGAATATTGGTCATTTAAATCCAAGTGGGCGGTGGAGGAGCGCCCGTGTTGAGTGCAACCGGTGAGTGACCTGAGTTCAATCCCAGCCCCACGGCAAACGTCAGCGGTTGAGTCATGAACTGGCTCATGGGAGAGCCCTCTTCAAGAACAACAACAACAACAAACACCTACACTGACCAGCATGGAGAAGTCTGGTCAAACTTTCTCGCCGTGGCCGTCACGGCATTGGGAGTGCCTTCGATTTAAAATGGTCAAAGGTCACTAAACACGGCCGCATATAAATGATGGTGAAAGAAAAACAACAATCGCACAAGTGAATGAGTGAATAGGTCAGCAGAACATGTTTACGCTTAGTAGATACAGTATAGACATAACACCATATCAGTACTTAACTTATTACAGACCAACTCAGACCTTATTGGTCACCCCGTGCCCTCATAAATCTCAACGTTCATCCTACAAAGTCCCATCACAAGGGAGAAACACAAACAAATAAGACACCACACATGTTTTGCCCGTATTGAAACGGCTGTAACGCCGTATGGACCTCAAAACTCAATCTCCCTGTACAAGAATGCGGGCTAAACCGTGTGGGTTGACAGCTATGCATAAAGTACAGCAGTGTATCGTCTGTCTCAACAGCATCACATCCACCCGTTTGGGGTGATAGTTATTCAACTGGCATCACAGCACTGCACTGCACACCATGAAAGAATGGCTCACAGTTCATCATCGCAGCGGCACACACACACACATACACACGGGCACACGCTACAACTATGCGCAAAACGTTACCCCTTTAAACGTGCGTCAAGTAACGAAATGTTTCGTTTGTTGAAAAAGCATCACGCACTAACTCGTGGCGCACACACGAACCGGGGCGAGCAGTCGTTTCCGCCATCGTCCCATGCACCCCCCTCTTCTCTCTTCTTCCTCTTCTCGTCGACGCCGTATCGTAGCAACAGAGTTGGGATTCCTTTTTTTCTCATCTCGTAATTTCCACTGCGGATACGCGGCCCCAGCCACTGTGTCGCTAGGTGTCGTGGTTGGGGGGTGGTGCCAGTGGCACGAGGTCAAACGTAGCCGCGGATGCCGATGTAGTGGAGGGAAATTCAGAACACCCCAACGGGGAGCCAGATGTTGACTACCTCGCCTGGTATACAGGAGGTCGTGGGTTAGATCCCGACCCTGACGCCTGCTGTTAATTTGGAGTTTGCGTGTCTCTCTCTCTCTCATCATCACGGTGGCTAGGAGATGTTAACTATCTCGCCTGGTATACAGGAGGTCGTGGGTTAGATCCCGACCCTGACGCCTGCTGTTAATTTGTGGTTTGCGTGTCTCTCTCTCTCTCATCATCACGGTGGCTAGGAGATGTTAACTATCTCGCCTGGTATACAGGAGGTCGTGGGTTCGATCCCGACCCTGACGCCTGCTGTTAATTTGGAGTTTGCGTGTCTCTCTCTCTCTCATCATCACGGTGGCTAGGAGATATTAACTATCTCGCCTGGTATACAGGAGGTCGTGGGTTAGATCCCGACCCTGACACCTGCTGTTAATTTTGAGTTTGCGTGTCTCTCTCTCTCTCATCATCACGGTGGCTAGGAGATATTAACTATCTCGCCTGGTATACAGGAGGTCGTGGGTTCGATCCCGACCCTGTCGCCTCCTGTATATTGGGATTGTGCGTGTCTCTCTCTATCTTCGTAGTCGTGTGGATATTTTCTTCAGCTCCTCCGGTTTTCCCCTCCACATTTAGAATAAAAACATGGTGCGTTTATAGTATTTGGCTGTACATTTGCACGTGACGAGCCACTTCGTTGAGGTTTCATTTGTGGCCAGGTCGCTTCTGTAAAGAGCTACGTAGCTCAGTGGGCCATACCTGGTAAAATAAAACATATTTTGTTCATAGTTTCAGGATACTGTACCGCACTACGAACCTGCTGGTCACCTGAGTTATGTTGCCGGCCGCAGCTAACATCAGCAGAGAAGTGATATCTGAACCGGTCCTGAGTCTTCGCCCCTCCATGTTCACCAACACTCAATGAGCAATGTAGTGTTGTGCAATACAAATAATACCCAGCATCAAAATCTGTATTTATCCTGGAGAAATCCGATGAGCTATGAAACTCGTTTTCACTGATGTCCAGCAGTACCCAAAGCGGACCAGGAAGGCTTTGATCCGGCATTGGATTGACAACGGGTTATAAATAAGAGCTGTTTTTTATTTTTAACATGGAAACATGCCAAACATCTCAATGTACTGCCCTCCTGAAGAAAAAAAAAACATGGCTTGAGACTCAACGATGCTGATGTAGTGACTGTGAATGTCACTGTGTGGTGCCGGCCTTGCGAGGCCACGGCAGATAACGTGCTGACATGTGCAGCCCGGTTATTGGGCGTAGTACTAGCCCTAGCGGGGCTTGGGTGAGCGCTGGTTAGCGCAGAAGCACCACGTACGGTGTGTGGTGCGGGCTCCCGGTGAGTGAGCGAGAGAGAGTGTCAGCCAGCCAGGGTTACGTTGGGGCATGATACGCTGCTTGACCTGCCGACACGTGACCGGATGATACTGGAGGGGGGGCACCGGTGGACGGGGGCCGCTGGGCGGTCACGTGGTATAGAGGAGCTCTCGGGAGCCTTCTGGAAAGAGCTCGAGAGATCTAGAAGGTGGGCGGGGCGAGAGGCGGAGCCAGTCCCAGCCCGGGCCGATATAACCGGGGCGCCGTTCGGGGCTCGGGGTTCTTGACTGTCGGTGAGTGAAGATCCACGTCGGGTTGAAGAAGCCTCTAGCCACGCGGTCCGGGACCCAGCTCGTGGTCCGGACCGGGATAACGGGAACGTGTCTAGTTCTGCCGTAGCGTGGTTAGATTGGCGTTCAACACCCGAGTGTCGGTCACGTGATGTTGTGTTGAGTTGATGTAATAAATAGTGTTGCTCCCAAGACGTCTGCGACTCGGTTGGACTCACTACACTTTCATGAAGTCAAGTAAAGGCAATGTCCCCTTGCCCAAAGCGGCAATGGTGAGTGGCACAAAACTCTGTAGGTCCAGGGCCAGTTGAAGAATTCCACATTCCCACAGTAGAAGAGATTTTCTCAACAGGACGACCATCTGAAGTAACGTGGTTTTACGCCTCATCGACTTACTCAGTACAGTATAACTATTTCCTTAACAAAGCCCCGTTATTTCCATGAAGGCCACATTTGAAATAATTTACAAACTATCAAAATATCCAGCAATGTAGTCGCGAATTTCAATACGATTCATGTTACATTGTATGTTTTGCAATATAATATAGACAAAATCAATGCATGGTAAATGAACACCACTGAAAATGCCAAGCGCACAAACCAATTCTATAGTAGTGACTGCATAGTACAGTCGAAAATCAGGGCCGTCTGGAGAGTGGAGTTCCGTTTAACAAGTCGGACAATGCTTGTTCATGTTTTCGAGCTTTTAAGTGCGAATTTTATTTTCTTGTTTAGATTTTTTCCACCCCTTTTTTTGCGACAAGGCATATCTGCCCATCTTGCTTTTTGTTTAGGACACATCGATATATTTTTTTAACCGTGAGTATTGTGAATAGTGCCTTTGGGCAGAATGTTTTCACGAAGGCATAATGACGGATAGTCGAGATTAACGATGGAGTGACAGCCAAATGAGAAAAAAACAGGTCTGAGAGGTTACCCACCATGGAGATGGAGCGATGGAATTAGCTGCGTGCAGCCCGATGGATTGTTGTATCGAGAGTGGGGTTACTACCTTTTCTAACACACCAAACCCAGACGTATTTCTCAGCCGGTACGAGGTCTACCCTCGCTGTGCGGTACACCGTAATACAGTTCAACACAGCAAACACCGGCACTAGATCTCTGGTTAGAATCAATTCCTGCCACTCGACACACAGACGACAATTTCTTGACTGTCTGTGTCAAACCCGTGTCAAACCCAGGCAGGTGGCAAATCTAATTGAGAGACTGTGAGAATTGGCGACGGCTTAGGAGGCCCTCATCCAGCAGTGGATAGATCATGGCTGATGATACTAATTTTAATTCAAGTGTGCATTCATTGGCCTGGCTGAGAAAGGTAGTGATGCCTACTTCTTGGTTATAATCCTGCGTCATCAGTTCTCCTGCTGTGTTTGTCTCACCTGATGACGGTTGCTTGTGTTGCGATCGAAACGTCGTGATCTATTATTTTTCTACCTACGTGACTTTAGCGAAAGAACCAAAGAGTATAGAAATCCTGCAGTCACGAAAACTTCAAATCAAGATTGCAATTACATTTTCAAAGAGCTAATTTTTTTCAATTAGCCACACGAAGTGTGGTTGCATAACAAAGCAATGCGTAACAGACCTTTATCGTAAACATTATTACAAATGGTTTAGTGCTTAAAGCATACCTTAAAGCATAATGACATTATAGAAATTACTGAACAATATAGGTCTCTGTTGTCGAGGGTTATTTTCTGGCACGCGGTTGTGCACTGCTTGCTGTGAGAATTCCCAGTGGATGTTCTTTGTTGAAGTGGCACCTCGCACTGCTGCAATCGAATTGGGACGTAAATAAAAACATTCATATTGACGTGGAAAATACAAGCGCTGTTTGGGTAATGTTGGTTCATACTGCTCTGTGATCTGAAATATTGTTCATTGCTCTTTCAAGCCAAAAGTCGAAGACACCCCATAGAGTGCTATTTGCGAGCAGCTATTAAGGCCTGCACGGCATATGAGGGGGTGGTATGGCTAGCACCGTTTACCTGATTTTGCTCCCCAATGTTGATGTTTAAACACTGCCAGGTATTCATTTAAATAAAATCAGAATCTTTATTCAAACTGGAGAAATCTGATGAGCTATGAAGCTCTTTGCACAGATGTCCAGTAGGTTTCACAGATGTCCTACTTGACATCTGTGAATCCTTCAGGAGGACATCTGTGAATTTAAGGCTATGTCGACCTAGCGGAGGCCCACAGATAGTTCAGATAAAGTGTGGGCAATGCCTGTGCACTCGCCATTGATGTCAGCCATGGCAGGAAATCAAACTCAGGTCACAGGGCTCATAGCTCAGTGCACTAACAACTTTGCCACCAATTCCCCACACACACGCTCATCATGCACACGTCACACTCACCTCACACATCATGCAGGCACCATCATCACCTCAGCCTTCACCACAACCCTTCATCACCATCTTCACCTTCACTGTAATTTTTAAAATCATTACCACCTTCAACACGCACTAATCAGGCGGTCCGCCCATGGTAATTTGGAGCCAAAGGGATCTCACTTGATGGGTACAGTGGCAACTATCCAGCGCGTTCACACCTGAAGGAACAGACAGCAATTTCGAGAAATGCAGGCAGATTGCCAAATCCAATTATGAAACTGACCTTTCATGATGACAACAATGCCTCGTACATCATCATCTTCCTGCCCAATTGTGGTGTGAAGAATCTATCATGTTCTGCTGGCAGTCTCGAGCCAATATCAGGCATTCCACATTGCCATGACAGGGCCTGGGTATTTTTTGGCCGTTGAACCACCCCTTGTTGATTTCTATAAAAATAGGTACTTATTCTGTCTACCCGAGAATAAGTCATGATATTTGTATATATATATGAAACCATTTTCTAATCCACTGTTAGACGAGTGGCTTCCCACACCGCCGTGGGTATATTTGACCATACTTCACTACACGGGTCAGTGCGGATTGGTGGCAGCATCAACAAGGGAGCACAACAGTGCAGGACAGTACTTTAAAATGGATTGTGCTGCACGACCAGCCCTTCGCACAACGTGCCCCCCGCAGCCTGCAACACCTGTTATGCATAGTGGTCACCCAGATTATAAAACTACTAAGCATCTGCAAGAGAAAAAAATCTGATAGCTAATATACACATGGATATACATTACATGTACAGCACAACTCCAATAATCCAATAATCCGCGGTGATATGGGGTGGGGGGGTGAAGGGGGGCTAGGGTATTGGCATATCGCGGGTCCCGTAATCCGAGGTGCACCTCAGAGGGTAGTCCCCTAATTCGCGGGGAAATTTTTGCTTCGATGCGGTGTGCCGCGTTTTTTTTTCAGGAGCTGCGAACCCGCGGGCAATCCACGATTTTGCAAAATTTCGCGGATTATTGGAGCGCGGGTTTAATTTTCTTGTATATTGGAGTCCTCCTTTAGCTCTACATTCTAATGCTGTGTAGATTTCATACCTGAATAATATTGGGATTTTACTATTTCATACGTTACTGATATAGATGCAGTGTGCGTATTAATGGTATTAATATTGCTGTTTACAAATTGTGCCACTGGTCCCACACCTTGTTATAAAGTTAATGCTTTGCAATAATACAGTAATACTAATAACGTACAGCCCTTTCTCAAATTCCTCATGGATGAAGCCCTCCCACCCCCCAACTCCGTGTCTGTCACGGGGATTATTTTTCCATACTTCACCACGATTCTAATTAGGGCTTGGACGTGAATATGGGTGCCCAAGACCGGCTTAATTCGATGTCGCTTGCCACTGATATTAGACCAGGGCTGGGAATCAAACTCGGACAACCGGGGGGGGGGGGGGGGGGTGCGGGGGGGTACACAACGCTACCGCTTCCCGCAAACATAGACAAATTATAGATCCACGTGTACAACGTTGTACTTTAACATACCATACTATACTTTAGTATAGTATGTAATTATTGATGTCAATATCGTATTGTATTCAGTTACATGAATACATATTCGCACATGCACGTGCTTTTGCAGTGCTTTATTAGCAAACACAAAGACCTCCTCCGCTACAGCATTCATACAACATATTGGGAAATTGCAGCTGTAAGCACCCATAGAGACAGACACGATTCACGACATGGTGGTGCGGGCAGAAGCACGCGCAGCCCGCCTTTGTCTCCTCAGCGTTGATGGTTTTCTTTTTTTTACACACACGGCACCAGGTACTCGTTTAAGGCCGAGTCGACCTAGGGTGAGGGGCCCAGGACCAGTTCAGATATCACTCGACGGATGTCATCCGTGGCGGGGAATCCAACTCGGATCGCCGGGGTTTGTAGAGCACAGCGCGCTAACCACTGCGCCTCATAAGAGTACAGTCAGTGTACACACACACACACACGCAACACACGTGCAATTCGGGCACATGAATGTATTCATGACGCGCATTCACGGCCATGCATTGTTATACTGGGCACGCTCTTTGAGCGTTGCTTCCTCCTCCTCCATCCTCCTCGCGACCGCTGTGGGCTCGCAACTCCCACCCACCCACCAACCAAGCCCTAGCCCATCCCCTACCCCTCCTCCTCCTCCTACCCTCACCCTACCCTACCCCTTACCCTACCCACCCCCATCACGGCATCTCCCTGGGTTCTACCGTTGCCAGGACGTAGCCTGGATATTGTCTGGGTTGCTCGACGAGGCAAGCCACACTTGTAGTGTGCATTTACGAAGGCGAAACACAGTAACAGTCTTAAAAAAAAACAACTAAAGAATAAATAAAATTACAATAGCCACCTGCCGAGACATTTGCTGAGATGCCTCATATGCTTGGGGTATGTGTCTCTCGCTCTCAGTGTCTCTCCCATCTCATTGTCTGCGCGTGTGGTGGTGATGTCGTGTCTAATCCACGCTATTCAATCGCTCTGATCACCTCCGCGACTACACCGTACCGGGATTCGGAATCGCTTTCGAGAAGAGACTTAGATGCTAAATATACACATTAATGGAAATCGATTTTTTTTTTATCCATGACACGTTTTCTGTTCGCTATCTCATCAATTAAATATGCATCGAGTACAGTGGTAGTGTAGTTGTAACGTATGGGGGATACCGAAGAAGCGTTATGCATGTTGCCGTGTTGTGTAACCCGCTGCTGTGCATTAATACTCGGGCGTCTGCTATTAAAGCGGGGATAATTCATGGGATCCGTTATAGAAATCCCATTCAAAGGGACAGGGGGATCATAATAGTAACAATGAAAGCTGCTTTCTGCTTGCTCTGTATTTTCATCACGGCATTGCAATTCAATTCACTGAAAGCTAAAGCTATCGTATTTGAGATCGGTTTAGTAAAATAGCCTATAGAGAGACTCATATTCACGGTATATATGATGCAGTTTAATGTGCATACATACTAGTTTTTTATATCTAAGATGGGCCTGCATGTATACTGTGTAATATTAGTGTACACGTATGCATATGTAGTATACATAGACAGTATCGGTAGCATATATGTAATATAAACATACACTCGGCGTGCATGAAGCACCGTGTTTATGTAATGCTGTACACTTAGTTATCAGTGTATAATGATTGCTACGTGCAATTCACACGTGAAGTATTGTTGATACTTGGAGCACATAGGCATAAAGCAAACGGGTACTTGACCTACAGTTTACAAATAGTTTACAAATAATATGTGTATGGGTTAAAATATGCAGTGTGGATATGATGCGCTGTATATAATCACAGACGCGTTAAACAATATAACCGCACAATTCACACAGTTGGTAACACATTAGGATATATACATTTATTATAACGCCATTTTGGGCCGTACAGTCAATACGGCATCCCTTTATGACAACGGATAGCAGGAGCAGTGATCGAAATTGATCACACTTAAACGCGCCGTTGAGGTGCAATAAATGACAATAAAATCCGTCACGTGCAAATTAGAAGCGGGTACTTCGTATGGTGTTCATTTCAAGAGTTATTGTACGTTGAAAATGGGAATAGAATGGCAGACGCTTTGTTTTAAGGTTTCAGAACCATGGACAGCGCTTTGGTGCTGAACGGGCGAGGCCTAGTGCTACTCCTGCAGTGCGGATACTGCCACCGGTCTCGGCTAGTTCTCTCTGCCGGAGAAAGTGGTTCTGAGCCGGCGGGCATAGCCAACAAAACACGCCCTCCCTCCTCTCGCTAAACTTCAACCATTCCATCCCTTTAACGTGAATTGTTCCGTCTCTCGGTCTCCTATTTCGCAATTCATCCAATTCACCGCAAAACGTAGCTAACAATGTATGCATACACAATACGCGGGGGTTAATATGTTCAATACAATATTTTTTTCGTGGTTTTAAAAGCATGCAACGTTGTGGCTTGTGATCATCGGATATTTCACACCAATTTGTTATGTTCCGTATTGTTTTTAAAAAAATGTAACATCGCATTACTTTGATAATTTGCCCAAAAGCAATGCATGACACATTGCATTTATATATTTTTGCGTGTAATATATAACTAATCAATATGCCCAGCATTGTATTTTTTAAAAATGGTTTGATTAATCTAATTGCCCTTGTGCTACAAGACTCTAGAGTAATATTTTCAGGGCTGCATCAGTAAACTATAAGGAAATGTTTTCGTATCCATCAAAGCAAACGAATGTTTAAACATGACTTCCATTTGCTTTCAAGTGAAAGTGTAGTGGCGGTGCGTTGTCCTAATCCACCCTCTTCAATCGCTACGTCTCACCTAAGCGACACCTTACGTGAGATGCGGTGACGCTTAAAGAGGCCTAAATTAGCATTGAGGCGCGTCTCGCTCATCTCCCTGAGCCAGTTGTGGAAATTCCACATTCTTATGGCGGAAGGGAGGGGTCCTGCCCATAGGACGGTTACTTATTTTATCGGCCCCCAGAGGGACAGACGATAGGCTGAGTCAACCCCTCGGCACTCTACGACAGAGCCACTCGTCCGAATCTGAGAAAACGTGAACTGATTTGCCTCTGCGTAGATTATTACACGTTACTATGCTGCAAACGTGAAGACAATGTAATGTAAATAAATAACCAAATGCTTTGTGCAGAATGTTAGTATTATTGTTTATAATGTGGATATACATATACACTAGAATGTACGTATATGCCTCTCCATATTATAATACACAATGTCCCCCCCCCCCCTGTATTTTAAGCCAATGTGTATGGATCCGTCTTTTGATCCAGTAGGTGTGTGTGTACTTGACCAGATTTGTTCAGATCTATTGACACCAGGCACAAGTAGTGTGTCTTACTTTCTGGAGCGTCTTATAATCTGCATGAAACGGTATTTGCCTATGCTACAACGTTTAATACCCATATGCATACCAATTATATGCATACTGATGCAGTAACAAAATAGTTACACTTATATAGTACCGTACTGTATTGTGTTTAAGTAGGTCCTCTCATTTGCACTGCGGCCCTTGCCAATGTTGTCCAGATAGAATGATGATTCTTAATCGTAGAATTAGCTATGGCATGCTGAAGATTGCCAAGAGAAACAAACCCCGTCCAATGCTCTTCTCGCTGAGCCACTATCTAATAAGCGAAGCATTGGCTCTGAAGACAAAGATGGAGTTGATGGACCACACAAAGATGGGACAATTTTGCGTATGATATCTCCACCTATGAAACAACGGAAATGTGCGTACGAAGGCAGTAACAGCAAGCAGAGTTTCTGAGCCAATCGGTGCGGATATTGTGCTTTGCATGCGCTTTCTGTTGGAAAAATATTACGCCCCGGAATGGTCCAAACTATCACATTGCCGGACCCTGCCGATAAAGGATCTGTGAAAGTAAGGTGTTCAGGGTGGAGGAAAACAATACAATCAAATATTTCATTAAATTACGATGAAAACATTCGTTTAGTTTTTTTTAATATACCGGTTATGTGAAGTGTATAAAATCAATGTGTATGTCACACCCACATGATATACGTGATACAATGTATGTAGGAGCATGCCAGGGATACAGACATAGTTATTACAGCAGTTTTTGACGACGCCTGGATTTAATAATTGTGACTCAACCCAACAATTGTGTTTATATTGTACAATGTAGAATTTATGTTGCAACAAAAAAAAAATCTCCCATCAATAATCGCATAACCACATTGTCAACATCATCGCTATTTGAATGCGAAGTGAATTGTGCATTCGTAGCACCCGGGTGGCGGGTACGTTTCCTTTCATTTAGCAACGGTTAGTCCGTCGTGGGTTTCAATCAGTACATTGGGATACCAATGCCTTTCATCAACACTTTGATTCAGGCTCCATACATTTCATTTCGCGAGGTTAACACGTATGAAAGTAATCCTACAAGCTGGGAGCGCACTGGCCTTATGAATATATATACAAGCGTGCTGAAGTACAATCCAATAACACATTTGACTGACACGCCTTCATCTATCGGTGGATTGAAAGATGACGAAAATGTTGTTTACGGTATTTTTACGATTAAAGCAAAAACGTATAAGTGAACACACTGTTGAATACAAGACGTGCAAATAATGAATTAAAACACACCCATTACTCCGATTTATCTTCGTTCATATCAATATTTAGTTCTCACCCATTGCGTTATTGTATTAACACAATCAGATCAAATTAGGCTATGGAACTGTTGATTGCATAATATGATTTAAAAAAAAGTATTTTAGTGTATCTTAGAGGAGAGATCAATCGACGTTTCGGATGACTGGCGTTTTTATTTTCCAGCTCTCAAACCATTTAAATCCCACACGTGTTTGAATGTACGTGCACGCATGTGTGTGTATGTATGTCGTTAGCACGCTGTGCTACGAGCCTGGCCACTGAGGTTCGATTCCCTCTCACGGCCAATACCAGTGACGATAATCTGAACCGGTCATGGGTCTCCCCTATGTCGACTCAGCATGAAATGAGTACCTGTTGAGGTGTGTAAACATCGCCACTGGGGATACAAAGACGGTCGGACGTGGTGTGGGCCACCCCCCTCCCATTGTGTGTCATGCCGGCCTTGATAGGTGCTCGCTAACAGCATTTGTATATATGTATGTATGGGCAGTAGTAGTGTAGCGGTTAGTGCGCTGTGCTACGAACCTGGCCTCCCGAGTTCGATTCCCACTCACGGCCAACACCAGTGACGATTATCTGAATCGTTCCTGGGCCTACCCTAGGGTCGACTCAGCCTTAAATGAGTACCTGGTGCGGTACGTAACAGTATCGCCACTAGGGAGACAAAGGCGGCCGGGCGTGGTGCTGGCCACCCACCCCCTCGTGTGCCGTTCTGGCCTTCTTAGGTGCTCTCTAACAGAACTTACTCCAACAGTCTGCTAAGGTTATACGGGGAATCTTTGTCTTTGTCTTGTATGTTTATATATGGCTCTGGAATAGCTTAATCAGTAAAGCCGCTATGTTTTTAAATTAAAATATTTCACCTGGATAAATCCCTTGAGATGGAACATCTCGTTCGCAATGGTGTCAAGTGACGCATACCGAGTCAACACGTAATCGCACATACACAGCATCTTTACAATCTAGAACTTACACAGCATACATTGCACAGCAGACAAACACATACATACATAAATACATAAATTACACAACGGTCGACACCACCGGTTCAAATAGAATGTCCTTTACCTGTCGTGATTGCTGGTGTTGTGCGAGTGAGTTTTAATTAAGGACTTGAAAAAGAGACTGTCGGCAGATGTGAGTGTGTGTCTGGGAGAACGTTGCATGCCGAAGCGGCGATGTGACTGAGCAAGATTTTCACTGTTTAGGGTTTTTATTCTTCGGGGCACTTAAAA